CATCTGAACCCTGGGGTAGCAGCGGCAGCTGGGAGCCCCTGGGGCTCCGTTGGCAATTTAAAGGGCCCAGGGTTCTGCTGCAGTAGTGGTGGCTGGAGCTCCGAGCCCTTTAAATTGCACCTGAGTCCCGGGGCTCCCAGCCGCCTCTGCAGCTGGTTGCTCTGGGGGTGATTTAAAGGGCCCGGGGCTCCCAGCTGCCGCTACCACAGCTGGAGCCCTGCGGCCTTTAAATCTTGATTTAAAGGGCATGGGTATTTAAAGGCCCCGCCTCTTCTGGTTGAGGCCATGCCCCCTGCTCAGGACTCCGGTGTACCAGTAAATCCTTTAAGTTACTTTCACCCCTGGAAAACACCCTCGATCGTCATACACACAAAAGAACATTAAGGTTGCAAAATCAAGCACTGAAAAGCTAGGAAATGTCAGAATTTAAGGTTGCCTATGAAACCTTAATTTGGCCTTTTTGAACATATAACTTAATATAGTCTCCTTGCTGGGCCAGCCAGTCCAATTCCTGCCCCTCCCAGTCCCAGCTTTCCTCTCCCCACTACAAGCCTCCCAATTCCAGTCACCCATGTCCCAGATTCCTTATCCCAATCTAATCCCCTACCTCCAACTTTCATCTCCTCTGGAATTTTGAATCAGGCAGTTTCCTCCTCCATGCTGCCTAGGCCCAGCTGTGGAGGCACTGACAGCGCAGGAGAGAAAGGATCCCTGTTCTCAGTTCTGGTGCCCAGATCCAGCCGGGTCCACAGCAGCCCAGAACTACAATTGCAGGAAAGTCCTTCTCTCATACAACACCATTTTCTGGGATTTTTAGCTCTTAGACTCTAGGAAGTCTTTACTAAGCATGTGCAAACTGCAAGATACATAGGCTTATAATATGGCCAAATTGGATGGATTTTCCCGGAGACAGCAAAAGGCACATCCCTGATGCAAAGGCTATCTCTCTGCCAAATTTCAAGTCCCTTCTCCAAACATGGGGGTAGAAGTGGCCCCTAAACAACAAATGTCACCAAAGTTTTTTAACATGGACAAAACAGTGTATTTTCATAGCCCATTCTTTCAAAATGGCTGACCTGTTTGGCTGAAATAATAATAAATAATAATAATAATAAAAAAAAATAATAATTCAGCCAGAGGCAAACACCCAAATTGTTAAAATGTGACAAATCTATAAGCAATTGGAAACAGAGTCTTATAATTGGAAGTGTCAGGCCATCATAGTTGGTGGAGTTATCAGCCCTGCCTATAATATTCAATTCTGTTATATCCATTCTTAGGTTTTATTTTTGTGCTTTGGGTCATTCCCACCAAACATGGATAAAGGTACTTTTTATTCCTCCCTCCCCAACACTAATTCAAGCTATTGTCATAGATTTTTTTTAAAGGAAGTAACACAAAATCACATATGAAAGATTATGTTGTCATACACTATGTAAGGGTTCAATATTCATGGGGAATTTCCTTGGCTAAACCTTTTTTCTACTTAATCATATAACTACATTTGTCTTCCATATCTGATTTACTAAGTTCACTTCTTAGTTTTGACATCATGTTTTTGGGGTCCCTAGAAAAGCGGTTCTCAACTCGCAGCCCGCATGCAGCCCAATTAGCACACAGCTGGGGTCCAGCTCAGCTGTGTGCTAAAGGTTCCGGGCTCCGGGCTGCCCTGACACATGGTGGGCTCCGGACTGCTGGCAGCTCCACGCAGCAGGGTCCGGGCTACCGCCCCGCCCCACCCAACAGGCTCGGGGTTCAGGCTGCTGGCTGGCCTTTGCACGGTGGGGTCCAGGGTTGCAGTGGGGTTGGGGGACAGGGTCGTGGCTGACCCGCAGCCCTGCCCCCCGCCGGGCTCTTCACTCCTGGCCCCACTCTGTGCACAGGTCTCTGGGTGGAGGGTGCTGGGCACAGGGGTTTGTGGGGGAGTTTACGTGAGGGGCACTGTGGTTCTCAACCTGCATATGCAGTCCACAATGATAAATAGGCTGAGAACCACTGCTCTAGAGAACATTACCGCTTTCTCAGTCTTTGGAAGTAGTCTTTTGAAATCTGTCATCGCTTAGAAACTTGAATTATAGGACTTATTCTCTACAACCTTGCGCCTTGTGTAGTTGTTCATAACTGTACAAATTTAGCACAGAGTGGATATTTCTGACTAAAAAACTGACTAGACATATTTCAGTTGCAGGCAAAGTGTCTTCAAAAGCCGAGTTATTTTAAAAGTGAAAACATCAAATATTTCTTGGCATTTGAAAGGGTTAAAGAATTTGTTTTTGTCTGTAAAGGAGCTCACAATTTAGTTGTTAATTAAAGTTGGTAAGCCATTCAAAATGAGTTCAGCTATTATGTCTAGAGTATCATATTTATGCTTTCTTAGGTAAATAAAATAAAAAGGAACACAAACACGTTACAACATTATTCTAATATAGCCAGAGTTAACAGTTCCATATACTATACTGAGCCAAATAGATGTATATATCCCACAAGGCAATTATCATATTTTAAACTCCTATGTGCACTATAAAAAACTCTTTAAAGAGCACATGCCCTAAAAGAAAATTAGTATTGCAATTCAGCATTCATTATAAACTTATTTTCATTTGATTCTGTCTTTCTCAAAGAAATCTCTGTTTGGGCTGAAGCATTCCTTGAACCAGCACAGCAAGCTCCTGCAAAGGGCTTTTCTACAGGGGAATGTCCCCCGCCATAATTATACAGGTGTACTAAATTGAAAGAGCTATTCTCGATATCTTGAGGAGTGGAATGCTATGGGAACTGTCTATCCTTTGAAGTGAGCATAAAGTGTCTCCCAGTATCCTGTGTTCACAACTGGCTACTGCATGGGGTTAAGCTGGTGTGTTATATGTAAGGCTAAAATTTTGACACGGATATTTTTAGTAAAAGTCAGGGACAGGTCACAGGCAAAAAAGGAAATGTCACCGGAAGCCGTGATCTGTCCCTGACTTTTACTAAACATATACCTGACAAAATGGGGATCTGCAGATCTCCACACCACCTGAAGCAGTTTGGAGCCCCTAGGAGCCACCTGCAGCCTCTGGGGGCTGCAGGGTGCCCCCGCCATCTGCAGATCCAGGGATCCCTTGCTGCTCTTCGGGGCCGGGAGTCGTGAAGTGCCGCCGCCTCCCATGTCGGCTGGGAGCTGCGGGGTACCTGCGACAGCAGTGGCTGGGAGCTGTGGGCCATGGCCTAGGGCTCGGGGATTCCCCCGCTGCAGCCAGCAGCTGGGGGCTCTGGAGTTTCCACGCTCAGGGCTTGGCCGTCCTCTGCCAGGCAGGGCCTTAGGGATTCCCCTGTCACTGGTGGCTGGAGGCTCGGGGATTCCCCCCGCCATGGTGGCTGGAGGCTTGGAGGTTCCAGGGCTCAGGGTAGGGTGACCAGATAGCAAGTGTGAAAAATCAGGACAGAGTGTGGGGGGGTAATGGGCACCTATATCGGAAAAAGCCCTGAATATCAGGACTGTCCCTATAAAATTGGGACATCTGGTCACCCTAGCTCAGGGGTGCTCTGCTGGCAGGGGCTCGGGGATTTCCCCATCACCCGTGGCAGAAGGGAGCTCGGGAGTTCCACAGTTGCCGCCAGCAGCTGGGGGCTCGGGTTTCCCTTGTCCTTGGCTGGGGCACAGGGGTCCTCTGCCAGCAAGGGCTTGGGGATTCCCCCGTCGCAGCCAGGGTTTGGGGGGTCCTCTTCTGGCAGGGGTTTGGGGATTCCCCTGCTGCCACCAGTAGCGAGAGGGGGGCTCGGGGATTCCCTCACCAGCAGCTAGGAGGTTCTGCAGTTTAGGGCTTGGGGGTTCCTCCACCGCCCACAACATCCTGGAGCTGCGGGGTACATTGTCCCCAAAGCAGCTTGGAGCTCCGGGTGCTGGCAACGGGGGGACCCCGCAGCTCCCTGCCCCCGCTGGCAGTCCCGACCACCGAACACTGAAGTCATGGATTCCATGACTTCTGTGACCTCACTGACTGAATTGTAGCCTTAGTTATATGTGAGCACAGTACAACACTGTTCTCCAGACATCTTATCCAGGGGTGCTGGAAATTTTTGCATAATGGGCGTGCTGATGATGTATTTGGTGTGTGCTATTAGTACTTCAGTTGGGGGTGCCTCAGCACCCCTAATTCCAATACCACTGAACTTATCTGCTTCTGCATCATGTCAATATCCTTTTCTGTAGTGTCCTTTCTTTGTCCAATGGCTTCACTCTCTCCCTTGACAATAGCTCAGCATTTTCCCTTCCTCCTCTCTCTCATTCTTCTCCTACAACTTGACTCCCTCCTTTGCCATGTGCTGAGACTAAAGCACGAAGCCAGCAAACATCTACTCCTTGTCCTCTTGCTGCCCCGTCTCGCCAAGCGAGCGGGAATTACAGGACTCAGCGCGGGAGAACAACTCACCCCCTCCCAGCCGGGCCACCCTCCCTTATATTCTCCCTAACTGCACCCAGTGCGCATGCCCTCTTTCCACCTCTTATTTCCCCAGGCCCACAATAGATACCTTATTGCGCATGCGTACTTCTATCCGGTCGGGCCGAATCCAAGGCCGTTCGTTCTGTTTCCGGCCATTGGGAGCGTGATGTGTCACAATGCTCTGTCCTTCCAATCGGAAGCACCGCTCTGGGGCAGGGAGGTGGGACCAGGTCGCCGCGGTGTTGTTACCGGAAGTGGCCGTTGTAAATTTCTCCGTGAGCGGAGGGAGGGGTGGCGTGGGATTTTGGGTCCCCTCTGGGTCCTAACGCCCAGGGAGTCGCTAGTCCAGATTCTGTTCTCACTGCCTGCCGGCCTGGTGCTGCCAGCCGCTGCTCGGGGCCAGGGCTACCCCGCGGAGGTGGGAGGGAGACTGGGGAGGGACTGGGTGATGGAGCTGGGTCGGGAGGCAGATGGGGCAGGAGGAGAAGGGGGCTGATGGGAGAGGTGGGGCTGAGGGGCCGGAAGCTTATGGGGGGGGGGTGCAAGGGATTAATGGGGCCAGATGGAGCAGGGGGCGAGGACATATGCGGCAGCAGAGGGGAGCATCATTATTATCTATGAACATGCAATTTCCTTTTAATTTCTTTGTGGCTGGGGATCCTGCTCCCCAGAGCCTCTTTTTCTCACCAAAAACATGTAGGATTTGGTAACATTTTAGACGTAGACAGCACCTCTCATCCTGAGTAATTCCAGAGCGCTTTACTAGCTGTAAACATATTGCCCTGTTTAAATGCAGCCATTTCTGGGGTGGGAGGCAACAAGTTGGTGCATAGTGCAGTGAAGGAAGCAGAAAATAGGAGTGGGTGAACTTGTCTTTTCAGGGAGTTGTGGTTTGGGATTCTAATGCTTCGACTACTGAGCAGTAAAATGGAGATTTCTCTGGAGGGAAGGCAGTTTGTAAATGGATTATAAACAAAATCAGTAAAATGCTGGATGTGTATTACTTCGGAACTTGTTTTCCTAAAATGTTATATACACAATAGAAAACAAAATAGCTAGTTCTAATCAATGTAGAACCAGGACCTGCTTCTTGTGGTGGGTTTTGTATACACTACAAATATTCCTTAAAAAAATCATGGTAATTCTTAGAATGTTCGCTGCATATTTGTAGAGCACTAATGTTCTCATTTTGTATGATTTTGTATCCTAGTGCTTGCTGATCAGGCTATCTGAGGCTCAGAAAATGGCAAGGCAGAGCTGACCTACAGGTGTGACATTGATTTGCTCTTGCTCAAGTATACACAGAAGTAGGAAGAGAGCTTCATTCATTTATATGTATGTTTGGTTAAAAAAATTGGGTAGTTCTGATTTTTATTATGTTGTACGTAGATATTGATGATGTGGCATTTTGAACAATTTCTAAAGTCATTTTCCTTTATTTAAAGGGATGCTGTTAACATCATATCAAAAAATTCCTTACCTTTGTCACTTACCTTTGGATTATTAACAGATCAATTTAAATAATATTTCAGTAAGATATATAACTGCAGTGAAAGGATAACCAGCCTCCTTTATAGATTTCATTGCAAATTATGATTTGCAATAATAAAAGTCTATCGATAGTTTTGGCACAATCTGCTGATTGGATGTTCGTTTGTAATTTAAATATACTATTAACACCTATTCCAATATTATAAGGCTGCAATCCTGCAAAGATTTGAGCACATGCTTAACTTTATGCACTGCAAATAGGCTCACTGATTTCAGAAAAGTTAAGTATATGCATAAGTCTTTGCAGGATCGGGACCTAGTACTGTATACAGATTGTAAATCACAAGAAAAATTAATCATAGATGTATATTAACTTATTAAATTGAACTTTCTTGTTGCTGTTGCTACGTGAACATGTTTTTTACTGGAATCCCATGAGATTCCAACAGTTCATGCTGCCATCAATTAAATACCATATTTGTTTGTTTGTTTTATTTTTGCTGTGTGGTAGTAAACCAGTCAGTTATTTAAATAAATTAAAGAATACTGCATATTCAAAACTAGTAGCTTTCTACTGAAACATACTTTATGCTTCCTCGTTACTTCATTTCAAACTAAGTTCAGGAACATTTTCTCACTGCCTCATCTGGACAATGTGAATGGGACAAAATGTGTTAGAACCAAACTTAAGTCTGCCTGAGGTTCTGGCTTGAACTAGCATGTTGCCTAAGCCCTAGTTCAATAGTTGTTTGGTGATGGTATGTGACTCTATGCTTGAGAAAAAGCAGTTCTGGTTGGGAGCCATTTAGTACTATTATTATTTATGTGTATTACTGTAGGGCCTAGGACCAGGGTTCCCTCTAATTTTTTATGTCCATGTGCAGAATGAATTTTGTTATGTGCACCAATATGGAGGTGATGTGTGGGGGGGGTGGGGCTGAGGAGTTTGGAGAGTGGAAGGGAGCTCAGGGCTGGGGCAGAGGGTTGGAGTGTGGAGGTTGAGGGCTCTGGTTGGGGGTGTGAGCTCTGGGGTGGGGCTAGGGATGAGGGGTTTGGGGTGCAGTCTGCCTTGGGGCTGCAGCAGGGAGAGAGGACACCCCCAGCCCTCTCTTGCAGCAGCAGCTCGGGGTCGGGGGGAGAGGTGCCTCTCCCCAGCCGTGGCAGGGAGGGGCTGGGCTGGGTGAGGGGGCTGGGGCAGTGCTTCCCCAGCTGCAGCAGCTCCGGCTGGGCTGGGCTGGGCCTGGTCAGGGGAGGGACGCCTCTCTCCTGCCACAGCAACTCTGGCTGGGCTGGCTTGGGATGGGGCAGGGGTGTCTCTCCCTAGCTGCGGCAGCTCCGGACTGGGATGCCTCTCCCCGCCTCCGTGACCCTTGATAGCTTACTGTGTGTCCGTGCAGCTTAGAGGGAACTTAGCCTAGGACCCTTTAGTGGTAGGTGCTGTACAAACCCAGAACAAAAAGATGGTTCCTGCCCCCAAAGGGCATACAAACTAATTATAAGACAAGAGACAACAGATGAATATAGACAGATGGGGGAGTACAAGTAAACAATGAGACAATATTGGTCAGCATCATATGCAGTCATCTCAGGACACCAGCAGTCTAACTGTTGTAAAAATTTTGTGTTGGCATCCTTGCCAAGGAGAGTTTTGAGGAGGAATTTGAAAGTGGATAATGAGGTTGATAATATGGACGTTTATGGGGAACTCATTTTTGGGCGGTGTGGGACAATGCACAAAGGTCTTTGTTTGAAAATATAATAAGTGGGCTATGGAGGCTAGCCTCATTGGCCAATCAGAGGCAGGAGTTGACAGCTTGAGAGCAAATAAGAGAGGATAAGTAGGATGGGAATTGATTATGAGCTGTCTTGTAAGTGAACACAAGCATCTTATGTTTGATTTGATAAAGATGTGGAGCTAGTGGAGGAAGTGAAAGAGAAGGGTGACATGGTCAAAGTGACAGGCTAGGAAAATAGTCTTAGCAGTAGCATTCTGAAGGGATATGAGTGGAACAAGATTGTATTTGACAAAGCCAAAGTGAAGGATGTTGCAGTAATTGAGATGATGAGAGCTTGGATGAGAGTTTGAGCTGTGGAGATGTTTACAAAAGTCGGTATCTTACTGGAGCAGAAATAATTTGCAAGATTTAGACATAGCCTGGATATGAGGACCTAGAGAGAGGTCAAAACCAAAGATGATGCCCAGGTTACAGGCCTGAATGACAGGCAGGATGGTGGTAGAGAGTGATAGATAAAAGATGCAGTGGAAGGTATTGGAGTGGGAGGGGGAAGATTAGGAGTCATGTTTAGTACTACTATTTCTGAGTTCCCTAAGTAGTTCAGGATGGTAGCTTTGACTTCAGAGTTGGTTGAACATCCTGATACAGGGCCCAAGAAGCAGTTTGTGCCTCTGATGTTGTAAAAGATGCTAACTAGGCAATTTAAGAGGACTTATTCAACTGAGCAGTCATGACCACCCATTTGAAGGTGACCAAATGATTAGCCTGATGTCTATCTTGAATGGAGAAGAAACAGTACTTGATAGCAACCTGGGCAGTATTCCTGGGTCGACAAACCCCTGAACTGTGTTTGCAAGGAGCAGATGGAGGCAGGAAACCCATCCTCCATGCACTGGCCAGTGTTGTTGGCTGGATGTGGGGTGTTGTCTAAAAAGGTGATTTAGTATATGCCCTTTTCCTCCCTGAAGCAATATAAAGGGAACGCTGCAGGGAATGTGCCTCTTTATATCAGGGCTGTGTCTTAAGGGCTAGTTTGCACTTTAATAAGGGCCTAGTTTCTCAAACACTTACTACTGCTTACTATGAGAAGCAATCCTGTTGACTTCACTGGGACTACTTCTGTTATTTAGCATTACGCTTGGTAATATATTTTTGAAGGATTGAACACTAACACAACTTTACAAGGTTCAGAGTCAAGTGTCTCAATGACCTTATCTATACTGCAGTTGCTAATGTAACACATTTTGTGTTTTAACAACTGTCTAGCAACTATATCATAGTGTGTTATAGTTTTAAAAACATGTATTACATATTTAGCTATTTTTTCAGGTGGGATGGAAAGATGGCTTTAATCTGTAGGAGGAGCCTTCTTGTCAGTAAAAGCACGGAGTCCGGTGGCACCTTAAAGACTAACAGATTTATTTGGGCATAACGTTTCGTGGGTAAAAAACAACTTCTTGAGGTGCATGGAGTGAAAATTACAGATGCAGGCATTATTGTACTGACACATGAAGATAAGGGAGTTGCCTCACAAGTGGAGAATCCGTGTTGACAGGGCCAATTCGATCAGGGTGGATGTGGTCCACTCCCAATAATTGATGAGGAGGTGTCAATTCCAGGAGTGGGAAAGTTGCTTTTGTAGTGAGCCAGCCACTCCCAGTTCATATTCAAGCCCAAATTAATGGTGTTAAATTTGCAAATGAATTTTAGTTCTGCAGTTTCTCTTTGAAGTCTGCTTCTAAAGTTTTTTTGTTCAAGTATGGCTAATTTTAAATCTGTTATAGAATGTCCAGGAAGATTGAAGTGTTCTCCTAGTGGCTTTTGTATGTTACCATTCCTGATGTCTGATTTGCGTCCATTTATTCTTTTACGTAGAGACTGTGCAGTTTGGCCAACGTACATGGCAGAGGGGCATTGCTGGCACATGATGGCATATATCACATTAGTAGATGTGCAGGTGAATGAGTCCTTGATGGTGTGGCTGATGTGGCTGGATCCTCTGATGGTGTCACTAGAGTAGATATGGGGACAGAGTAGACAATGAGGTTTGTTACAGGGATTGGTTCCTGGGTTAGTTTTTCTGTGGTGTGGTATATAGTTGCTGTTGAGTATTTGCTTCAGGTTGGGGGGCTGGCTTATTTGGGTTTTTGAGTTTTAAATGCAAGTACATGCTTAGAAATTTTTGTGGGCACAAAATAATGAATCACAAATAAATTAATATAGCTTGAAATGTTTGATAAAACAACTGGAGCCAAATGAATAAAGGAAAAACCAATTTCTGTTCTCATTTCCTTTAGATTTACACCCAAGTAATTACAATGAATTTAACTTAGTTACTTTAGATTGGCCTTAAATTATTATTAATCAATATAATAAAGAATGAATAAATAAAGGTAATAGGATTTTTTTTCGGGCGGGAGGAGTAGATTCTGTTTTCTGGAGACAAACTGCAGAATGTGATTGAATTAAAAATAAAGACAAGAAAACATGTACAGTTTTTAAAAAGCTTCAGACATAGTATAACAAAAGTGGACTATTCAGTCACTTTATTAGAGCTGAAGACTTCTGCGTTAGGTTAGATGGAAATAGATTATGGCAGACACGTGGCTGCAACATTTAGGTGTAAAGATGGCTTGCAGGCTAGGTCATAGGCATGGGAGTCCATCTACAATGGCATGTAGAAGAAAATCTTCATGGTTAATTAAACTTTTTGCTGAATCTAGCCTGTGCTGACCATTTTATCTCAGTCTGTCTTGTAATGATTTGCCAAGAGAACTATAAATGAATTTATTCTTCAACCTGAAATAAGTGTTGGCTTTTTCAGATTGGTTGATGATATTTTAATACTTGTTTTCTAAATATGCTTGATGTATTAAGTGTTTCTAATGTTGCTATACTGTATATGAGAGAATAAACATGGATTTCTTCTATGCACAATTTTTGCTAAAGGAGTCTTCATGTTAATCAAATTTATGTGTGATGCTATAATCCATGATAATTTATAGTGATTAATGACCTCAGCGCAATAATCGGTAGAAAATTTCAGGTTTCTATTATCCTCCAGTAATTGCAGGAGGACTTGCTAGTTAAGGGCCACTGTTGCACAGTGAAGTCCCAAATATTGACCTACCCTTAAAATTGTTCTGTCATGGGGCCTATTGTCTGTATTGTGACTTTAAAAACAAAAACACCCAAAACCCACAGATGAATGCGTCATCAGGGAAATGGAGGGATACAACCTACAAAGAAACAATTTTGTGTGTTTCACTCTCCTTCTATTGTAAATTTAGAATCAAACATTCTCCTCAAAAATATGCATTTTCAGGGTTAAGGGCCTGATCCTACAAATGCTTGCTAGGAGGTGTAGTTCTTTCTGCTGTCTCCGATTGGCTTCAGTGGAGCTATGTCTGGTAGTAAGTGTTAACATGTCTGAGCCTAAAGCTTACATTGTTTGTTTAATAAATATCTGAGAGTAAATACAATTGATTCCTTCTGTTACAATGAGAAATAAACTGCCCTTTTTATGTTGTTATAGGTTTTAATGTATCCATATGATGCAAAGAGAAGAGTAATCTTTGAAGTGTCTCAGTTTCTGTAAAAGAATATAATTGAAGATTATGTTCTTTATCCAGACACTATAGATTAAAAAGTTGGAGATTCGTCATCATGAATTCTACCCCTCCAATCAGTTACACGATTCCTGAAATCAAACGGTGAGCTTCTGTTCCTTATTTTAAAATCCAGTAACTTATATTGTCTTTTTGTGAGAATTTTTCATTGTTTTGGAGGTTTGACAGTAGGTCATTCTAAGAAAACAAAACTTAATCAATACATATAATTTGTGTTAATCTGATACAACTTGTTTGACAACAGCTAGGCCAGAGGGCATGAATGATATCTCCAATTAAGTGCAAGAAATCCTTGGAAAGCACAGAAGGTATTTAAAAAGAAAAAAGGCAATAAGGCAGAAGGGGTAATCAAATACAGTTAGGAGCATTTTGCACTGAGTTACAGAAGTCTTTCCTTTGCCAGACAAGATGGCATTTGGTTACACTTTCTATAACTTGTTCAGTTGTAAGACTCGTCCTAGATACTTGGGGACTGGGAAGAATCTGTCAGGGAGATTGTGTATTAAACTGAAACTTTGACTGTCTGTCTTAAAACCTTGAGGCATGTCCCCTGGGACTGACGGTCCTCAAATTCAGACAAGAAATTCTGTCAGCGTCCTTGCCGTGGACTGTCATGCAGGGGAGAGAATCAAATTGTTGGCATAAAAGCCCTTTGTGTTGAAAAATTAGGGTAGGGTATATCTGTCGTTTTGTTGTTTGTACCTAGACAGACTTTGGACCTAATTTTCAGAAGTAATGAGCACCACCTCTGAAAATTTCTGTCTTTAGTTTATAGTTAAGTAAATTATGTAGATTAGCCTCTGGAAACCAAATAGTTTAGTGGTTTCTCAAGTATTTCCAGTTGGTTTATTAGAACAGGTGGTATGCATAATCACATTTTTTTAATGCACACCATGGAAGGGAGAGAGGAAGGATACATTTGCAGACTTATGGTCATGGATATGGCCCTTATCATTCACATCAATGTTTTTGTTTTGTTGAGTATACAATGTCTTGAAACAATAGCACCATTAGCGAGAACCTTGATTCATTCTAATAATATTGATCCTAAGTAATATTGTTGCCATTTAAATCATCATACTACTGGACTCCTAACTGCTTTGGCAGTAGTAGCAGAGTTCTGTGATAGACCCTTTTTCCTTGAAACATGATCTTTTAGGATAGATATGCAGAATCCCCCTTTGGCTATAAGAGTTTAGAAAAATCCCATAGCTAATTAACAAGTGGAAGAAAAATCAGTCTCTTAGTTGCAACACAGATATAATTACACTACTTTTTGTCAGGTGTGAAGAAAAACCCCTAAGACAACTTTTACAATATTGTAACTAATATGATTGCCGTACACAACTGAACTTTAAAGTCAACTTATTGATTTGCTGAGTTGCCCATGTTAAATTTTCATTACCCTGCAACATAGTATTCAATAGCTATTTCATTTGCTCTTGTTTTTCTTAAAGAATTTTAGAGAAGGTGTGAAGGATGGCATTTTGTATATGATTTTGGTAAAAGCATATTTTTTAAATATGATTATCCATCAGGAATATTAAATAATGCAAGAACACTTTGAACAAGGCTATACAATCATCTCACAATTACTTTTATGATGATAGAAACAAAGAGCTTCTTTGTTCTTATAAAAATCCATTTGTGTGCATTTGTTCAGCCTTACCACTTACATTTGCTTTAATTGTCTCCTCTAGTTATCATTGTCATTGCTTTAGTTAGAATCCTCTGTTCATCATATATATGTATGTATATACAATAGCTACCACACGGTGCATGAAATGTGTAAAATATCAGCAAGTCTTGTGTGTTGGAACTCTGCCATTGTTCTTGTGATTTATTGCATATCTGAGGCATATGCTCTTCTGTATCTACACAACTTCTCCTGTTACTCTATTTTAAAAAAATCCATTTTAGTGTTAATAGGTTGTTTGACTTCTTTATTACACTTTAAGTATAAGTACGCAATCTAAAATGTCTAATTTAAATTACATTAATTTTAATTCATTTTATAATATTAGAAGTTGCTATCCTAATGCCTTAGTTGTTTTGCTGAAACCCTCTGCTTTGAAGTGAAGGCAGCTCAGCCTAAAGCCATTCTGAAGGGGCAAAAGCTATTAATATTTTTGCTAATGTTTTGATTTTCATGGCAATCAACCTAAATTTCACTATGGAAGAGCTCATTGTTGGATGGTCATTTCAGAGGCAACGTAGCAAATACCGTAAATAAAAATTCAGTATATTTGCTTTATGCTGCTGTTTTCGTTTTTATAGTACTTCCAAAACTTTATTCCATAGCTATAATGTCCAAACATGAAATATACAATTTTGCCACACTGGTCTGACTCTGTGGGATTTTTTTGTTTTTGTTTTTTCTCTTTGTGTGTTTAGGCCCCAATTCATCAAGACACGTAACCATGTAATTAAGTCTTTTGCTGAATCCGAGCCTGGCAGTGTAGATATGTTGACTGTTCTAGACAACCTCTTCTTCATCTGCTGCTGGCTGGTGGGAGGTTTGGGGGAAAATGGTTTTCCCAAAAGCTGATGGCATAAGCCTTTTTGATGACTTCAAAGTTGTAAAATAATACTGAGTTTTTTTTAATTTACTTTTTTTAGCGTGCTCTCCCTGTAGGCAGCTCTACAGTACCTCCCCGGTAGAAAACTAAAACTAAAAACTGAAACATTAATAATGTCATAAAAATGTAGAAGCCTTGACAGGCAGCGTCCCAAATCCCAAACTGGTATAAACTGGTTTGCTCCATTTAATCTGGACTATACTATGAAAACATAAACTTAAATATATAATACAGGAAAACTTTTCTATTCTACATAGACACCTTGGGGTTCTGATTATGTGGCTACCATGTTATCAGAACTTCATGTAACCTCTGGATCTAAAAGCAGGAACTTTGACGGCTTAGGCTAAAGCAAGTTTCTTAAACTCAAAGGCTGTAGCCCGTTCAACATCTATTCATGGACTAGCCATTAGAGCGAGCAGAGAGCCACACTGTAAATGTGAATTCAGTTAATTTTTCTCTCTCTCCATTCTTGCCAGGAGAGCTCCCTTCCTCTGAAGGTGAGAGAGGAATAGCTTCACTACTTTTCTTCTTCCCCTTACAAATGTCTTGGCTACTCATTCCCCTCCACTCTTCATCATCTCAGGGCACTTTACACTCCTCACACCAGTATGTAGTGTATATACACTACATGGCCCCCTAACATGGGTATAGAGAAGTAGCAGTATAGAGAGCAAGGCACTGCTTAAGTGAGTAAAGACACTCCAGAAACTTAGGCTATGTACCCTACGCTGCTCTCTGCACACCCAAGCAGGGCCTCCTCTGTCTACACTGCTATCTTAGCCTTTCCCTGCTGCAGAGAAAGACTGCAGCACCAGGGAAAGTCTGTGAGACACATACCCTACATGTTGCTGCTGCCATGAGGGCGCAGTGTAGACATATCTTCAGAAGTACAGGGTGCTTCACGTCCTCTATGTGCAATGATTACTTCACTTTGAAACAGTATACATGGCTAATAATGCAGCCTGACGTTCCTGCTACTAACAGCCGTGTCTCAATGCTTCATTTGGATTCTATACCCACCTGTGGCATCTTGCCACTGGATTATAAAGTCTTCGGGGGCAGGAATGAATGATTCCCTGACACAGACTGGGGCCTCTAGCCCTGTTGTAATACAATTAATGACTCTTCGTACACACACACCAATGATTCCACTGACCCCTCGTGGTAGAGTGAGCCTCTGCAGTATACCCTTGTTGCACTATTGAGCGTGCCTCACATTCCCCTTTCCCAGGGAAACTCTCCCAACAGTTCTCTCTCTCTTGGCACCTCCCAGCAAGGTGCTAGTTATAAACTTAGAGAGTAGTCTCAAATGCAACATAAAAAGGGCCTTCTGCCCTCTGGTTCAGCTCTCATTTCTTTCCTGCTCTCCTACAGAGCTCTAACTCATAAGGCTTTTTCCATCGGGGGTGTCTCCCTTCTTCCAGGAGCCAGCATTTCTCCTCCAAGCTCTCTACCTGAGAGTTATCCTTCTCTAGGGCCTATCTTTCCCACCAGTAGTCTTGCAGCCCTTTGTAGAAATCCCATGATACAAACCGAGCTGGGTCTAATAATTAAACAAGACCATCTGGTCCCCTTCACATCAGGATCAGCTAGGGAGGAGATTTGGGAGGGGAAGGTGATCCATCACAGGTGAGTCTGAACCAGACTTGCCTCAAAGGGCCAGCCAGCTTTTGACACCCTTTCTGTAAGATTTCTGCTGGAGTCACATCCATGTCAGTATTTTCTACAAAATCATTCTCCTCATCTTCAGAGCTCTTAGAGCCATGCTCTTAGCTAACTTGTTGCCCCCTTATACCATACTTTTCTATCTTCCTCCATTTTCTGGTCTCCTCCCAGTCCAACACTCCCTCTTTTTCTTAGTTGGAAGCTGATCCCTTGTGCTGCTGCCCCAGAGATGGTCTGCCTCTCTACCATCTCTGATTTTCCCCATCCATTTTAGAAACCTCAAAAGCCCAACTTTTCTATGCTGCCTACAACCATCAAGGTTTTGTAGCGTTCCTCCCTGTAGCTCTTACTAATTCTAGCCCTTCGTACCCTCCTTACCTCTATTTGATTTTCCTCCACACTTCTAGCTTCTTGTTGTAATGGCTGTGAAATGTGAGATACTTGTGTATAATACATTATATTTTAAGTTAACATAAGAATGGCCATACTGGGTCAGACCAAAGGTCCATCCAGCCCAGTATCCTGTCTACCAACAGTGGCCAATGCCAGGTGCCCCAGAGGGAGTGAACCTAACAGGTAATGATCTAGTGATCTCTCTTCTGCCATCCATCTCCACCCTCTGACAAACAGAGGCTAGGGACACCATTCCTTACCCATCCTGGCTAATAGCCATTAATGGACTTAACCTCCATGAATTTATCCAGTTCTCTTTTAAACCCTGTTATAGTCCTAGCCTTCACAACCTCCTCAGGCAAGGAGTTCCACAGGTTGACTGTGCGCTGAGTGAAGAAGAATTTCCTTTTATTTGTTTTTAACCTGCTACCCATTCATTTCATT